CAGAAAAACGTTTCTTTAACTCAAAATTTCAAACCGTTAACAGTTTATTCATCTCTAAAGGAAAGTAATTCTAATAAACGTAAAAGTAAAAGTCCAATTTCAAAAAATAATGAAGGTTCAAATAAAAAATTTATTCAAAAACAAAATTCTCCTTTCATTAAAACTGGTACTACTAATCTTTTAAACTCGAGTCTGAACCACAGTTGGTCAGTATCTGCAAACAATGGAGGGTCTGCTTCTAAGAAGGTTAAAAAGAGCATTGAGTCTGCTAAAGCATTACAAGCAGTAAATGCATCACCTGTCAATGATCTTACATCAGATAATGGAGTTGAGGAAAAAAATCAAACTACTGATGATTTAGTTATATCCAAACTAAACGTCGTTCTAAATGAGAAATACAAATTCAAGTCTAAATGAGAGTTGGAGTGTGTGCAGTGATGAAAAACTCAAATCGAGTAAATCTCCAGTATCAAAAACTGTTAATGAACCAAATAAGAAAAGTATTCAAAAATCAAACTCTCCCTTTGTTAAGATTAGTTCTCCCAATGTTGCAACACAAGTCATAATAATAATTGGTCGGTATCTGCTGAAAGTGATGGTTCTGCATCTAAAAAATAATTTTGACTATTGAAATGTCTATGCTTATATCTAAAGTCTATCATCCTAGTTGAATCACTAAATGCAGTGAAAGCAAACACATCTAAATAGTGAACAGTTTATTTAGTGATACATATTTATGTGTATTAATTGTATACATTTTATCACAACAAAAACCCTTCGTAACTATGTGTAAAATGGCTAAGTATAAAAAAAATAAGATCTTTAATCACTATAAAGTGTGATATCAGGAAAATGGTAATAAGTATAATATTAAGTATGTATATTGAATTTAAGTAAACCTATTTTGTTTCAATAATTTATTTACTTGGTGAGGAATTATTTCTTAAAAGAAACAAGTGTGATGAACAAAATAATTAAATGGCGAAGGATTTTTAAAATAATAACTTATAATATTTTAAATATAATAATATAATAATTAATATTCATATACTATTCTAAATGATTCCTCGCCAAGTAAATAAATTATTGAAACAAAATGAGTTTACTTAAATTCAATATACTTAATATATTTAGCATTTATGCATGATATCACATAAAAATGCCACTAACTAGTTAGAAAGTTACTTTTTTAAGTAACTTTCCAACTTAACTAGTTGGTTTTAATTCATATTAACTTTGTAACTTAACTAGTTGAATTCAATGGGTAAAATAGTCTAATGTAACTCGTTAGAAAAAAAAAAACTAACTAATTATTATTATTATTTTTTTTTTTTGTCAAAATGAATATTTTAAGTAGTCATACTGTTATATATAGTTTTTTATTTTGTTTCACCCTATATGTTCTAACAACTGATAAGTGATATACCAATTTATTTAAATTATTACTTACATAATTAGAATATTTTGATCAAATTAGATACTAGGTGTTTAATTCAATTTTTCAGTTTTAATCAATAATTTAAGTTAGATAACTTATTATTTACATTTCGACCAAAAGGTTTTGTAATCTATAAAAAAAACTAACTCCTAACTTCTACTCAAACTTAAGTTACTATTTTCACCAAACAAACTTCGTTAGAAATTTCTACAGTTTCAGAAACTAACTTATATTTTAACTTAGTGAGTTTTTCTTATTAAAGTAACTTAACTTCCACTAGTTGAAAAAAATGACTAACTTGTCCAGCTTTGCTTTATAGTGCTTAAAGATCTTATATTTATTATACTTAGCCATTTTTACAAAGAGTTTTTTTTTTGTTATATCACTAATTTTGGTCCTAAATATGAATATTTACACTTAAATACTTTCACTACATATTATCTTCATTGAATTTAATTAATAATATAAAACAAATAAAACAATATCTTATTTAAACTATGGAAGCCTTTATAGTCAATAGAACATCTTTGGGGTGTAAGACCCAAGATCAGAAAATAAGGGGCGTAAAAGTCATTTTTTTTTTAAATTGGCTTTTAATACAAAAATATAATATGATTATGAACAATTAATCAATACAAAATACGTAAAAACTCATTATAAATCATATTAAGTCTCAAATCGAAGTGTTATACGATGTTCTAAGGCTGTAACACAGATCATATGAAAATATCTGTTTTTCTGCTCTCTCGAACAATTTGGAAATTGGCGTTTACGCCCTTTTACCTTCTAACCAACGATATAGTGAATTAATAGAAATAGATATTATGTCTGAAGTTAAAATTAAAGTGGAATATTGTCAAAACGTTGCGTGTCAAATATTGTAAGTTAATACAATTTTAGCTCTCTGAAATAGAAATTAAGTTTCTTCGTAAACGGTTTGGGTACACATTGTTTGATTTCGGTTACGATTAGTTACTGAACGTTTTCTAAATTTTGAATTAGGTCCGAAATTGATTCGTAATAGTCAGGTGTCCAACATCATGAACGTAAGATTTTAAGTTCAAATTTAATCGAAATTAGATGTTAAAAGAAGAATATTGCTTATAGTTAGATGGTTGTAGTTTTAATATATTATTCGGAGGTACTTGAAACTTTTTAAGTGTATTGTTATATCATGGACACGAAATGATATTTTAAAAGCAATTTTCCTGCAAAAATTAATTTAGCCTATAATTTTAAGCCACGTATAATAACGATTATACATCTGTTTAAAATGCATTGAGTTTGTACCATGTTTAATTTGTATATTAAATATATATTCAGGTGACAAAAACAATTTGAACACCGAGTAATATGAACTACTTGCAAGAAACCTCGTTTTAAATTTTCAATACTTAGATAGCTATAAAAATTGAACACATTTTTATACATTTTCAAGTCCAGGGCTTGAATCCGATATTGGATAAGGCAATATTTTGAATACTGGTTAAAGCCGTTAAAAACCGAAGACAAAATCGAAAAAATCAATACTTAACGGTTAGTCAAAACTTAAATTAAATCAGAAAAATAAAACCGGTATTCAAAACCAAAAACGAAATCATGAAAAATAAATACTAATATCCGAAACCGAAATCACAATCGAAAAAATATTTTCGGTTTCAAGACCTATTTTTAAACTACAACAAAATTAAAAAATATCAAAAATGTCGATGAAATTCATCAAATTTTGAATTTTTGATGCTTAAAAAAAAAATTCCTGCATACGTATCTTCAAATGTTTCAAACTACTATTAAGAATATAATATATTATTATCTAAATATACAATAAACCTTGTCCAAGTATATGGTTATACATAATGTATACATTAATATTTTTAATAAATAATAATAATTATTGTCTATTGGTGATAAATAATAAGGAATAACTAAATTCATATAATGTTGTGATAAACCTTACAGAAATAATTTCTGTACGCAAAAACTCCCTCTGGGAGTATAACATATTTAGTGTTTGAAGTATGAGAAATATTTCATGAAATATTTCATTTTGAAATATTTCACTAAGTTGTGAAATATTTCACAAAAACGTGAAACATTGAAATTTTTTTTAACACAAATTAAAACACAATTTATTTATTTTTTTAACACAATGTTCAGTGTTCTAAATTCTAATGTCAAAATTCAGTAAGTATACAATATACATGTATAATATTGTATACCTACTTGTATCATTTAAACATTAAAATATTTAAAAATTTTGAATACCAATTTAAATGTATAATACCAAAGGTTAGGTATACATACAGGTACCATATAGTGATGAAGGTAATTTATGACAATTATATGTAAATAATTAATAGTTAATATATAGTTTCTACTTCGTTTTGCATTTCGATTTATTGTAACTTTTTATAATTGTTTATAGTTTCCATTCTTTTATTACAAAATTTAAATTCCTTTAACTAAAGTATTCAATTTCTTTT